AGATAACATAGTCCTAATAGTTAGTTAAAAATGATATGTATCAGAATGAATATTTTCTAAAGAATATAGTTATATTTTCTTGTATTTCATTATTCAACAATTGCTGGTTGCAAAGTATATCTATTAATTCATTATTTATCAGTTGTTGATTAAAAGGGGTATCTATTAATTAAAAAAATGTTCATGAGTATGTGACATATAAGTTTTGCTATTTATTTGTTGTATGTAAGTTTCATCTATTTGTTGCATATAAGCTTCATATGTTTGTTGCATATAAGCTTCATCTGTTTGTTGCATATAAGTTTCATTATCCATTTGCATATAAGATTCAATTATTTGTTGTATATATAATTTATTCATTTCTTTTGTATAAAAGATAACTATTTTTTAATGAAGTGTAAGTTTAAAATTAAAGTGATGGTATTTACATGTTTAAATATCTAATAGATATATTATTTCAGATTATTAATACTTAGAATAAAAAAAGAGTACAAACAACAAGAAGATAAGCATAGTAAGTTAAACATAGCCACAAGCACCAGTAAGATGAGACCAGTAGCAGGGCTAAAATAATATACTAGAAAGAGCACAAATAAAAAAAAAGACAAGTGTAAAAGGTACTGATACCAAGAGAAAAGTTGTATAACAAGAAAAAATATATACATATGTATATACGTATATATATCTGTATAACAAGAAAGAGAAATATATATATTATATATGAATTATTAAATTATGTAACCCAAGTTTGTACACTACATGTTTGCTCAGTAATTTTCTTAATTTTAATACTTACTATATACTAAATAATTAATATTAAATAAATAATTAATTTAAATATTTATTATATATTATAATTATTTAATATTAAAGCAGTGTTATTTATCATCTGATTATTTTTATCAGAGGCTTACCCCCTCTCCCCTCTTAATATAAAAAAAAATCAGGTTCTTATATATAATTTTAATTTTTTTTACCCCCCTAAAAAATCATCTGATTTTTGTCACATTCCTTAAATAAATAAATAATTTTAATATTTATTAATTACTATAATAACTTTGATTTTTTTATTAAGTTAATACTTCATTTACTTAGTATTTTTAATTCTAAAATTGCTAAT